TTGCAACGCCTGCAACGGCCACAACGTGTCCTCTGCCCTCCGGGTTTCCAAACTGGATTTTCTCCTGGGTAATAATGAACAAGTTGATAAATGTCAGCTCTGGATGTGAGAGGACGAGAGAGGGATGGGGGGGCGTGGAGGCGTGGAGGGGTGGGGGGGAGGGGGGTAGAGGGGGGGGGTGCAATCTGTTCCATCCACTTCTAGGTTCAGGCTGCCACCTAGTGGATCCCACCGTGAGAGAAACGGGAGCGTTTTGTGTTGAGCGGAAACCGGGACGCAGAAGGTGCGGCGCACACCCTGCCAGCGGCCGGCGGCGCCGCGGGGCCCCTGAGCGGTTTGCACGCGCTCTCTCGGTTCGTTTGCAACAACCCCGGGGGGGAGGGGCTGTCGTGCGCATTTTCCAGACGAGAAAAGAGGCTCAGAGAAGTGAGGCACCTGCTTCGCTGAAAGGAGGCTTGGCTGCATCAGTGACTGAACGAGCGAGCGAGCTGCACGCGGCTCAGTCCCCGGGCGGGGTTTCCTGGGCCCCGGGCGCGCCGCCCTCGGGCCGACCCGTCACGGGAGGGGCGACCCCGGGGTGGCGGGTGCGCGCGGCCGGACTGGGGAGCCGGCCTCCTCCCGCCCACGGCTCCCCCTGCGCCCGCGGCCTCACCCCCGCCTGCGTGGCCGCGGCCTGGTCTCGCCTCTGCCCTCGCTTGGGACCTAGCGCCCGCCAGCCTCCTCCCTCCCCCTCCCCTCCTCCCCTCCTCCCTCCCCTTCTCCCCTCCCCCCCCTCCTCCCCTCCTCCCCTCCTCCCTCCCCTTCTCCCCTCCCCCCTCCCTCCCTCTCCCTCCTCCCCTCCTCCCTCCCCTTCTCCCCTCCCCCCTCCTCTCCTCCTCCCTCCCCTTCTCCCCTCCCCCCTCCTCCTCCCCTCCTCCTCCTCTTCTCCCCTCCCCTCCTCCCTCCCCTTCTCCCCTCCCCCCCCTCCCTCCTCCCCTCCTCCCTCCCCTTCTCCCCTCCCCCCTCCCTCCTCCCCTCCTCCCTCCCCTTCTCCCCCTCCCCCCCTCCCTCCCCTTCTCCTCCCTCCCCCTTTCCCCTCCTCCCCCGGCGGGGGGAGGGGGCGAGGCCAGCCCTGGGCGGCGCCCTCATTCCTTTCCCTCTAAAGGCCTGGATGCCTCCTTTTGAACCTTCTCGCTGCCACCGCTGCCACCGATGGTGTCTATTGCCTGCAACCAGAGAACCCTCCTGTGGGCCCCGGTTGTTTAAGCGAGCTGGCGTGAGTGGCCCTCTGTCCCCCGCCCCGGCCCCCAACCCCAAAGAAACCCTAGCTTGGGTGGATTCCTCGCCCACTGATGCATGTTCCCGATTCCCCGCTGCCCCCTTTCCTGCGGGTGCGGCCAAGTCAGTGCTGCCCTGGTGGGGACAGGCGAAGGCTTGGGTGGTGACCACAGGCCTCCCTGGGGGGTGGACTCACCTGCTAGAGGCCCAGCCCTTGGGCTGCTGCCTGGTAGAAGTGTGGTTGGCCCTTTATAGAAAACTCACCCCCCTCCCCAACTGCCTCCCAGCCAGGCTCACTCACCTCCTTGTCCTGTTTTTGCAGGGATGAACCCTCTGGCCTTGCAAACTCAAAGCTACTCCTGCTCTGCAGGCCAGGCCTCCCTCGGCCCACAAGCCCACAGCCGCCTCCATTCCCTGCACCCCTAGCCCAACAGTGAGAACCATGTTCTAAATGCACCAGAAAATAATAATAATAATAATGACTCCCCCCTTGGGGAGGTTTTGCATCTGTCACCTTATTTCTTGCCCCCCACCCACCCACCCACCCAACCAACCAACCTGTGAGAGCAGTGTCTCCACTTTACAGATGAGGAAACAGGCTCAGAGAGGTTGGGTGACTTTCTCAAGGTCACACATCTGGTCGGAGGTGGAATCAAGACACGTGAAAGTGCCAGTCCGTGTGCCATGAGGCACCCACGCGGGGCTCACCTTCGGCGAAAGCCTTAAAGCTGTGACTGGATCTCTGTTCTGTTCTGAGAAACCAGGTTCCTGCGGGCACTGATCCTGCCTGACTCCTTTGGCCCTGGAGTTGGGGCACAAATTACTTGCACAAAACAGAAAGTTTTCCCATTTCATTTGAGTTTTCTATTTCTCTCAGGACTAACAGATCTGTGATGAAGGGGGTGGGATATAAATAGCTAGTCTCATGCTCAACCAAGTTTCATGTTCCATCTTGCTCAAAACAGTTGCCACTGGGGAGGAGGGGCCTCCATCCCCCACCTGCAGGCTATTACCTCTGCACTCCCTATACCCTGGTCACCTGAAAGTAGAAGTCACAAATCTGATTGGCCGGGGTCCAGAACATTCCTTGGGCCCCATGTTACCAGCGCACGGGCTTACTAATCTTAAAAGTCAGTCCATACGTGCTCCATGAAAACATATATTTCAAGGTAAAGTCTGCCTTCTTGGGCAGGCTTCTTCCAGCTCTTTGGCCTTTGACCAACTCAGGCCGGACAAGAAAGGAGCCTCAGTTATACTTTCGGCCCAACTTCAAATGCTTCAAAGCAGCCTTCCCTTCAGCTCGTTTATGAACATAGTGGTATTTTTGTTGCCCACTTACCTGGCGGTGCACTACTTAAATGTTTAACAACTCTCTGGAGGAGCGGAGGTGGCCCAGAACAAACCTGATTTGTCCATTCACCAGTTCCCAGGATGTAAAAACTCTCATGATGGCCAATATCAGATACCAACGTGGCATTTTTAAGAAGTAGTGCCCGTTAGTGCACCACTCTGTAGTATTTCCACCAAGTAGAGTGGTGCAATAGAACCCCAAGAACACAAGTCATTGTAAAATGTGGCAAAATAGGAAGTGATGGATTTTGAGTATTTCTTTAGTCGTAAATATAGTTTAATTGTAAGTTGACGCGGTTTAGTTTTTAACAGTGGCTCTATTTGACAACCGGCTTCCAGGATTCCTGAATTTTAACAACTGGCGCTGGCGAGCCAGTCAGGCTGGCTGCAGCTCCCACTGCCTGCATCTGTTATTCCTGGCATGCGCTCTTCTCTCAACCAGGATCCTATCACTTGCATCTGCCAACACCCTTTTCTCTGGCGAACAGCCTCCTCCATTCCATTTTGTTCTGGAAGAGCCTCATTTCCCCATTTATAAAACATGCCAAGAGTGGTGCCTATTTCACAGGGTGATGGTGAGGATTAAATAAGATTGTTCCTATCAATTGTCTCCCTCTGTGCCCCGCACACGGTGTGCACTTAATAGGCGGCCAACGTTGCGAGCAAGCCAGAGGAGCCGGGAGGAGGCTAGTGGTTGGCAGGAGGCGGGAGCCACGGGGCCCAGGGAGGGAATGGGAAACAGGCCCCACCGGATGTGGTGCCTTGGTTTTCCCCACCCTCTCATTGACCTTCTTCAGCCCCTCTCACTGGCCTTGCCAGCTTTAAGGTTTTCGGGATGAACAAGGGAGCTTCTCCAACCACAACCAGCCTGGGGAGATATGGGAATCTGCCTTTCAGTGGGGAGGGGAGACAGGCCTGGAACCCCTACCTGGGGTGAGAGGACTCCTATGGGTACAAACTCTACAGGACTGTCGAGGCTTGGTTTTATTTGGTCCGAATTGTGTTCTGGAAATATTTGAGTTCATTGCTAAGGTTAGAAGCCGAGAGCTTTCTCTGACGTGTGTTCACTCCTGGCTGGGCAGCCACTCGGGCCAGTCTCCACCTGGCTCCGGGCACCACCCCCACGGCTTCCGGCTGGGCCTGGCAGGCATGCGCATCTGTGTCCTCAAGCACGAGGTCCTGGTTGCCCCACAAACTTCTGGTCTTGTGCGTGCGACTTCCCGGGGCTCCTGCCACCCATTTCCCCATCTGCATGCTCACACCACAGTCGGGACCCCCTGTGATGCCTCCACTGTAAGTGGGTCCCACGTCTCCTGTCCACTCGAGGACCCCATGCAGCGACCCCGCATCTCCTACAGCATCACTTTTTCTCCTTCCACCCAACCACAGGCAAGCAGTCATTTCCCCCTTAAAGACCTCGCCACCCCTCCTGCCAGTTGGGGCCCTAGTTCTCTGCCACTTGGCAGCTGAACTCCTCGAGAGTCTTCTACACCCATGGTCTCTTCCTCCATCCCCCTCTCTCTTAACACGACTCTGGTTGGGCGTTATACCCCTCGCTCAACCAAAACTACTCTTGGCCAGGTCACCCCAATGCTCAGTCCTCATTGCCAAGCCCAAGGGTGCATCTCGGGCTCACCGTGCTTGGCCTGCCGGTGCTACTGGTCAGAGGGGACCACCCCCGCACCCAACACCTCCTTCCCTTGGATCCTAAGACCCCTGAGTCACTAGTCACTCCTTTTCATTCTTGGTGGGAATCCCAAATGTCACGAATTCGGTGGCTGTGATGGGCAGTGGCTGCAGGCACAGGGGATTCCAGATGCTACGCAACCAAATGTTAGTCAGTTGAAGACCCGTTTCCCATTTCCTTACTTTCTCCTTTATTCATGGGCTTGTGTTGCTGAGCTCTTGCTCCTTCTGGCCATAGAGACAGCACCTGGCAGCAAGGGTGGTGGCAGTGGTGGGTACCCCACAGCCCGTAGACACCTGTGACCCAGCGAGGGGGAAAGGGTGGCCCAGGCTGGGCCACACTGCCCTGCACCATTGCTTCTCGTTTAGTCGGATTATTAATAATGACAGTGCCCTACCTGCTTTCCCTGTCTCCTTCCTTAGTCTCAGAAGCATAGGTCAGATGCGGTCACCCGGCTGAAAACCCTCTAACCTCTCCACACTCCACTCAGAGTAAAACCCCGAGTCCTCACCACGGCTGCAAAGTTGGGGACCGAGAGGGAGCCTCTGCACTCACCCCATCAGGCTCCCCTCACTCCTGCTCCAGCCACCGGGGCTCTTGCTGGCCCTAACATCCCAGTAAGCTCCCACCTTCAGCCTCTGCACTGGGCCCTGTGCCTGGAACATTCCCCCTCCACCCCGGGTGCCACATGGCTATCGCCCTCAACTGCCTTCACGTCTTGTTTAAATGTTACCTCTTCCAGAAATCTTATTTGAACTGCCACCCTGTTGCTCTCTGACCCTGTTGCAGAACTTGCCCTACTGTTTTTGTTTTCCCCTTAGCAGGTCATCGACGATACCACATTATGTTTTACTTATTTATAGTATTTATTGTCTGTGTCTCCCCCCGCTCCCAAGCCCAAGCGTCTAGGAAGGCACATAATCAGCCCTCAGGATTTCTTAAATATGTGAGTTTCTAGGAAGGACCATGGCTTTGATCAGATTGTCAAAGAGTTTTGTGGCTCCAAAACTATTAAACAAATCACTTCCCAGGACTAAAGCTATTTGAAAATAAACCATTTGTTCCAGTCCTCCAAGGGCAGGGGCACAGCCACCAAATAGATACTGCCCTTGATCCTTCCCAAATCCTTCCACTTGACAGTGCTGGGCATCCCCTCCTACGGCCCCTGGAGGGAGACCCTGAACACCAGAGGGGCAGCAGCTTCCAGACCATGCGGGAGCTCCCCCAGCAGCAGCACAGAGAGGAGACAGAGCATGAGATTCACCACGCAAGTGGGCCCTGAATGTGGAGTACATGCTGGGAGCAATGAGAGCAGCAGTTAAATACAGAACAGAAAATAACTATCTTTGAAATGACAACCAACGGGACACATTATCTATGCACTAACACCTAAGGAGGCGGCTGCCCAGGCGCTGGTGGGCAGCTCCTCAGGAGAGAGGGGCCGACTTCTTTCCGGGCTGCCTCGTCTTCAGTCCTTGTAACTTTTCATCTTTCAGTGCCTGCAAGAATTTATCTGCAGAAGAGCAAAACAAACACAGCTGTAGTAAAGAGAAGGCCTTTTCTAACCCTCCCAACGCAAGCTTCTGGGAAGCAACTCTGTGTGCCCTGCATGAATCCAATACCCAACATGGGCAGGAAGGAAAAAAAAAAAAAAACACCTTAACAGCCAAAACATGTTTAAGTGGAGAATGTACAAAGAAATCCAGGACTTAGAAAAGCCTGTTTTCTAGGGATTCTTTCCATGGTGGTGGGAAGAGGATCTTACAGGGTGTCTGATGTGTAGGGGACCATTCTCACGGCCACATTAACCTAAACATTTAGGTTATTTCATACATCCCTTCCCTGTGTGGCAGGGGAGCCAATTTAACATGTTTGTTTGTTTGTTTGCAATACTGGGAACAGTCTTTCTAGAATAATCTTTCCTCCTCTAGTGGTATACTGCAAGTGTTAGCCAGAACAGGTGATGGGAAGACACAGTCTGCAGAACAGCCTATGGCCTCTGAATATCCTACAGTGTATTAAGTCCTGATGGGAGTAGAATCAGATTGAACTTGACCCTCCCACCGGGAGGCATCCTGCCACATCAGCACACCTGGTCTGCCCTGGTCCAGAGCCCTAAGACTTTAAACCTAAGACCAAAGGGCAGAGTTCAGGACCCTGGTGAGAGGGCTCCCAGGGCCAGGGTCCACAGGGTGTTTACTTCGAGCATCGAGAAGTGGAGGGCCCCAAAGCGCCCGGTGAACTGTCCTTGTGCTTTTTGGGTCTTGCACAGTTCCCACCTCGACCTAGGGACACTCCAACCACCTTCCTTCGCTTCCCCCGCCCCCCCCCCCGCCCGTCCAGGACCGCAGTTGAAGACTAAAGCTCAGGTCTCTAGGGGTAGGGGTAGGGGTGGTGGGTGATGGTAGCACTGCCACCACGGGGGCGCGGGCGGGGCTGTGTGTTAGGGCGCAGGAGGCTCCGAGTGCAGGATGGGGGCTGCGGTGGATGGACTTCCAGGTTTGGAGGCTCAGAGTCCCCATTACCCAAAGGGCTCAGGACGGACGGAGGGTGGGGTTTGGGCCAAAAGTGTTGGCGAAATCCTGACTGCGGTGAGGGACGGCGTCGGTAGAAACCCAGGCAGGACGCGGGAGTCGGGGCGCTGGGAGGTGTGACCGGGTGCGGGGGCGGGGCGGGGGGGGCGGGCCGACGTGGGATCCGGAGCCTGGGGGCTGCAGCCTGAGCCCGAGGCCACGCTGCGTGGGAGGGGGTGAGGAGGCGTGGAGGCGGGTGGAGCCCAGGAGCGAGCCGGGGCGGGCAGGGGGGCTCGGGCGAGGCCACGCACAGCGCTGGGAGTCGAAGCCGTCGCCAGTGATGGTGAGCAGCTCCAGCTCCTTAATCCGGATCTCCAGCTCGCATAACTCCTCGGGGTGGGAGGCGGCGGCGAGCCGGGGGGCCGTGGGCCCGGGAGCCAGGGGCGAGGCAGCCCCCTCGGGCCCCGGCGGCGGCGAGTAGAAGAAGCGCAGAGGCTCGTAGGGGATGGAGGCCAGGCCGGAGGGCCAGGGCGGGGGCCAGGGGCGCTCGCTGGGGGGCCCCAGGCCGGGGGGCGGCGGCGGGGGCGCCGGGACCGGGGGCGCCTGGGGCAGGGGCCGCCCCGCCCCCGCCCCCGCCCCCGCCCCGCCCCCGCCTTCAGCGGCACGAAGAGCTTCTTCCAGATGTTGAAGTCGCTGAGCGGGGACGAGGAGATGCCGCGGTCGTAGAGGGAGGGGAAGTAGAGGGGCGGGGCCGGCCGCTGGCTCATGGTGGGGCTCTGGCTGCCGCGCCGCCCCTTCGGCATCTTTTGAATGGGAGGCTGCGTGGAGGAACCCCGCGCCCGGAGACGCGCGCCTCGGCCCCAGTCGCCCGGGTTCCGAGGTTCCACAGGCCCCGCCCCGACGGAGCGAGGCCCCGCCCCCGACCGGCCCCGCCCCAATCGGGCGGGGTTCTGCGGCAGGCCCCGCCCTGAACAGGCGGGGTTCAGCGGTAGGCCCCGCCCCTTCATCCGGCCCAGTCAGGCGGGGTTCTGCGGCAGGCCCCGCCCTCAACAGGCGGGGGTCAGCGGTAGGCCCCGCCCCTTCATCCGGCCCCGCCCCAACCAGGCGGGGTTCTGCGTCGGGCCCCGCCCCTAATAGGCAGTGTTCTGCGGCAGGCCCCGCCCCAGAGCGTACCCGCCCCCTGACGCCGGGCCGCGCCCCCGGGGCTGGAGGGGCTCCGCGGGCAGTCGGGACCGCGAGCTCCCCGCGCCCGGAGCCGCCCTGGCACGGCCCCTGCTTTCCCCGCTCCCCCAGCCCGCTGCCCCGTGGCCTCCGACCGGGTCGCGCCCCTCTGTTCTCCCCCCCGCCCGACGTTTCCAGAAGCCTCGCGCCCCTGGCCCCCAGCTCCCACGTCCCATCTCCCCTCCCCGCGGAACCTCAGACAAAAACAAGAAGCCACGAGTTGGCCAGAACTGCAAGAGAATAGATGCATTTTCCAGTCTTCCTCTCCTTTCACAGGGAGATCATAGACACCTGCCCCCAGCACAGCCGGCCGGCTCGCCTTGGCACCCCTCGCTGCAAAGTCTCTGGGGAAATGAGTTTTCATCCTCTACAGCGGGAGGCGGACGAAGGAGAAGAGGGTTGCTTGGGATCCTCCCTTAGGGCCAACCCGTGCTCTTGCCAAATTTTCCAGTGTTGTGTAAGGTTCTGGAAAAGGGAACCCTCATATGGATTTGTAATAGATCTGAAGTAGGATGTCTTCAATGGAATGCAGTTTACTTTAGTTCTTTTCCAGACACATTATTAGAAGCTAACAGGAAACAAACCACTGAAAAGAAATCCTGCTAAACCCCCCTCCAGGGACACCTGGGTGGCTCAGCAGTTGAGCATCTGCCTTCCGCTCAGGGCGTGATCCCGGGGTTCTGGGATCCAGTCCCTCATGGGGCTCCCTGCTGGAGCCTGCTTCTCCCTCTGCCTGTGTCTCTGTCTCTCTCTCTCTGTGTCTCTCATGAATAAATAAATAAAATCTTAAAAAAAAAAGAGTGAGAAACACTTAAATAAACCCACCTCAAATAGGTCACCCTTCTTTAAGAGGGACCTGTACATACTGTCAAGGGGCTTGTCCAGCTCATTTACAGGAGTAGACGGTATTAGCCAAAGAGAAGGGGGAGTAGATTTCCTTGAAAGCCTTTCCCTAATGATAGTGGTGTGAATGGACAAAGATGGGTTGAGGGTGTTGTCCAGCCAAGGCCTGAGTCAGTACCGGCTCCATTAGCAAGGGCTACACACATATATATGGCTCTCTACATACACCACACACAGGGCTGTGTGTGTGTACATGTTATGTATGTGTGTCTGTATGTTAGGTGTTGGTTGGACAGTTAGGTAGTCAGGGCCAGGATCCCCACCAAGAAAATATGGAGCCAGGCCAGCTAAAATAAAACAGCACCGACATCCTGTTTTGCAGCTTAGGCAGGACTGCACTAGCATTTTGCTTTGCAGCCTTGTAGAAATGGCTTCTGCAAAACATCCTAAAATAGGATAATTAACCACAAAGCATTTGTCAATATTACGGGGAAGGGGCAGTTAAGACACAAGCCCCCAGATGTCAGAAAAAAAAGACCATCAGCACAGAGACATTAACCTAATAGGTAGACAGATACGTGACCAAAGCCCTGGCTGGCAGGACTCAGCATGCCCTGACTGCTTAACACAGTTCTGCAAAAGAGCTCCTAAGAACCCCTAAACTCAGAAACTCACTCGGGGGCCCCCCTTCCCTCTCTAGTCTTGCTCAGTAAACTTTGCTTTGCTGCCACCACTCTTGGCCGGGCCTACCTCTTCTTCTTTGAAGCAGCGTGACCAAAACCTGCGGGTACTCAGGGGACAAAGTTCCTGTAACATATACAGCAGAACAGCGGACAGTCAGGTGGCCACGCTGGATATCTTTGGGGAAGTTGCCTGACTTCTAAGATGGTTTTTTGTAAGATTAAAAAAAAAAAAAAGAACCAGGCTGCCTCATACAGTTGTTTGTGTTGATCCAACAGAAGACAATGATGTGCGTGAAGCGCTCGTGAAGTTAGAGACGCCCAAGTGCGAGGAGCAGCGGGCCACACTGACAGCCCCATTTCATGTCCCTGAGATTATGACCTGAGCCAAAACCAAGAGGTGGACACTTAACCTACTGCACCACCCAGGGGCCCCCTATTTGAGAACTTCTAAAACAGTGTGTTATTCTGTGTTTGGGGAACTGAAGGGGACCAGAATATAGCACCCCAAAATATGTCACTTTGGGATAAAAATCAGAAGTTAAAGGCAACTGAGAAATGGCAGACACAGGAGAAGTCCTGTCCTCTCCCTTTCTGCCTCAAAGCAGGGTATACATTTCCCTTGGTGAAGGCATCCTCCTCCCCACACCCCTCTCCCCTACCAGGAAGAAGAGGTGAGAGTTCTCACTGGAGGTGGCACTGACCAGTCTGCACCAACAAATCTTCCCTCACAACCCTTACCTTCAATGAGTTTCCCCCATGTATCTACCTTCCCACAATGTATGACTTCTGGAAGCCCAACCCCCTTTTTGTTTGTTATCCCTTGTCCACAACGTATCACCCTGTGTTAAAATGGCTTATAAGTTTTCAAGCTTAAATGTTTCTTTGGGCTTTCACGTTTTCTGTGAGGCCCCGAGTGCATGCATAATAAATCTTTTCCCCTGTTAATCTGTCGTTTGTCAGTTTAATTCACATGACCCAGCAACCGAACCTAAGAGAGTAGAGGAAAAGATTTTTTTCCCACCTCTATAGAACCACAGTAGTAGTAAGAACCAGAGTTTTGGACTCAGACCTGGGGCCAACCCCTGGATCTCCTATGTACTCGGCTGTGCAGAGGAACCTTTCTGAACCTCGGTTGTTCCTTTGTTTGTTTTTAATCTATATGAAGGGAATAACAATGGTACTTCCTCATTAAAGTGGCAAGGTTACATGAGACCATCTAAGGACCTGGCCATAGAACGCGCTCAGTAATGTTAACTCTTATATGTTGAAGATCCTTAGAAAGGAAAGGGATTTTGTGTTATTAGTTTTTAAATTTATTTATTCATGAGAGACACGGAGAGAGAGGCAGAGACACAGGCAGAGGGAGAAGCGGGCTCCCCGGGGGGAGCCCGATGTGGGACTCGATCCTGGGACCCCGGGATCATGCCCTGGACCGAAAGCAGCCGCTCCACCCCTGAGCCACCCAGGCGCCCTTGCATTAGGTTTTTCAAATGCAACCTAATTTTTATTTGTATATATCCATTCAAAGTGAAAAAGCTTACAGACCTTTAACTCACCTTAACTCCAAGGTAATCAGATTTTTGTCCTGGGGGGCGCGGGGGGGGTTAATTATAAAACAATCGTGAATTTACAAATCCATACGTTAAAAGAAAGGTTGTTCCCTCTAACAACCACACAGGAAAATGCTGCAAGGAACAAACACGGAGATAAATCCCAGGGAGGTGAAGCCCGTACGGGGTACTAACCACAGCAGGTAGCACAAACCCCTCCAAATTAGCTCGGCCAACAAGTGTCTGGGAAAGTCTGGTTGGCGATGAGAAGACAGCAGGCATCCATTTGAAACAAACATTCCCTCCTGGCCCGAAAGCTCTTGAACACCTGCCTCGCTACCCCAAATCCTCATTAGGTGCCCGCCTGTTGGGGCTTGAGGGATTCAATCTCAAACACCGAGCCCCCTGCCTGCACCTGGAAGCACCTGGACAGATACTCAGAGGTCCCTCTTTGCTGCTGCAGCTCTGCCGGGGGCCACGTGGGCTTGCCCGAGGTGCACCTTCCAACCGGGCCCACGCCCAGGCGGCACGAGGCCCAGCGGGCAGCCCACGGGCCTGGTCCGCAGGGAGCGGGCCTTTGCTGCTACAGACAAGAGCAGGCCTGGTCCTTTCTCCAAACTCATCTGTCAGGGCTGTTGCTCTCTCTCTCACTCTCAGGAGAAGGAGGGCAGGACTGTCACCCTTAAGACACATGACACAGTGGGGTGGGCGTCCCCCCAACACTCTGACTTCCACTGTCTCACCGGGGCTGTCACATGGCGGTCGGGGTTGGGATTTGCCCTGCCCAAGCCCCCTCCAGCCAGGAGCTGCTGGGCCTACGTGGGTTACTGTGTGCCTGGTTCCCTCACCGTAGCCTGCTGGAGACAAGGAAGCTTCTGGATCTGCTTCCCTGGGAGTCCCACTGGGGGCTCCTTTATGGAGTAAATGTTTGTGTCCTCCAAAATGTCTATGCTGATACTCTAACCAAGAAGAAGGTGGAGGTCTGTGGGAGGTGATTAGGGCATGAGGATGGAGCCCCCATGAATGGGATCAGTGCCCTTAGAAGAGGGACCCCAGAGATCTCCTTTGCCCCATCCTCCATGTGAGGACACAGGAAGACGGATGTCTGTGAACCAGGAAGTGAGTTTTCATGACACCAAACATGCTAGAGACTTGATCTTGCACTTTCCAGCCTCCAGGCCTGGGAAAAAGAAATGCTTGTTGTTCAGGGCACCCAGTCTATGGTATTTGGTTATAGTAGCTTCAATGGTTGTTTGAACCCAAGACTGTGACATGGGGAAAATTGAGTCAGCTCTCTGAACTTCCATTTTCTGGTCCATAAAATGAAGACAATATCTAGGTCACAGGGTTGGGGTGCATTTGATGAAAATACACGTAAGCAGTACCTGGGACACACAGAGGGTGCTGTAAAGTGCGGCTGTGATGGTTACGCAGTTACAGATGGATTCCTTAGTTCACCATTAAGCCCTGGGGAGCTGATGAGGAAATTGGAAGGGGGAAGGGAGGATGTCACTTCTAGAAAACCAAACCTGCTCCAGATGATCCAGCAAGTCCTATGCCCAGGAGGCTACTTCCTGGCTGTCCTACTGAGGACCGTGATAGCAAGCTCATGAGGAGAGCCTACACTACGTGCCACACACTTATGTCAACTCCGCTGATCTTCCTAACGACCCACGCAGTGGGTGTGATTATCCCAATTTCCCAGATGAGGAACTGAGGCTTACATGTAAGGTTAGGAGCCTCGCCTGCGGGCCTGTGGCTGGTTAGCATCAGAGCTGGCGTTCCACATTTAGGGGATAGGCCCCACTGTCACCTCCTCCAGCCTCCCCAACGCCCCCCCCCCCCCCAGCCCTCAGAGCAGCCCCACAGCTGGGCATCTGGCCCCTGTCCTCTTCCTGGCAGAGGCCTGGCTCTTCTTGGAAGATGTCCGTGCCACAATTCAAGGGCCCAGCTATTCTGGGAACAGCCTCCCCTTTATGAATCATCTGAATTAACCATTGTGTTGGTCTGGACCTGGGGGCCCAGGCATTCCCACTTGCCTTCACAACGCCTGCTATTTATAAAAGTTTCTAGAAAATACAGTTCGGCCCTTATTCTTTTGCCCTGGGTAGAAGTGCCCCTCAGTACTTGCAGAGTAAGCAAATGGTTTAATAAACTGGAGCCTGAGGGGCAATTTAGTGGAATGGAGCACGCAGGGGCTCGGAAGGGCAACCAGCGTCAACTGGCTGTGCAACCTTGGGTGAGGGAATTGTAGCTAACGCTTAGTGACCACCTACTATTATGCGTGCTCATGCCATCCTGACAGCAACACCGATGGCGTAGGTCTGCCAGAAATTTTCTGTGCAAAAAAATAAAAAATTAAAATTAAAATAAAAAAATTTTCCGTACAAAACCAACAGAAGCTGACACTGAGAATTTACACAGGGGGCTATGAGATAGCTCATGGATTTGGAAGCTTCAGAATTAGCTTTAGGAAGAGCAAAAAGCTCAATCTCAGGAGCTGGGTAGCAGGGAGGAATCAATAGCCTGTTCAGTTTGGCCACTTGGGGCAGGAGGGTAGCTAGCTCTTGGCTGGCTTTTCTCAATGACTCATTCCTTATCCTTTTACCCTGGCCGCCTTCCCCTACAGAGGTTGGAAAAATTCAATTCTAGCTTTGCCAGTCCCCCTTTCCGGTAGGCATGGCCACGAGACACAGTGCCAGCCAGAAGGTATGACCAAAAGATGGCTGGGAGATTTCTGGGAAACATTGTACTTTCCTGATAAGAGTGTTGGAAACAACTGACGCTTTCCCTTCCTCTCCTCTTCCTGCCATGACCTTGGATGCAATGCTGGAACCTCTGTAGTCACTTTGTGATCAGGAGGGAAAGACCATTGCAAATATGCCAGCCCAGGCATCGTTGAGCAGCTAAACGAATGCCAGCAGCTGCTGACCTGCAGATCGTTTATGCAAGAAAATCAGACTCTGTCTGGTTAAGCCACTCAAAGTCAGGTTGTCTGTTACTTGCTTCCTGAGAAGTTCACACACCTTCAACCAAAAACATTTTTTTCAGTCCTTGCAGAACTGCACTCGAGACTTAAATTCCAGGAGAGGACGTGCCCAACTTTTGGCTGGAGGAGGGTAGGCTACCTTTATTAACAGTTTCACCAAAACTGCATTTAAAGGATAGAAGGAATTCCCCAAAATGTGAGTGCGCTCCTGTTAGCAGAAGGTGGGGGAGCAGAGGCTGAGAGGCTGAAAGTCACACGTCCATTAGGATAGGTACCATGGTTACAGCCGGTGATGACAGAGGCTCAGGGGGGTGATGCAGTCTGCTCAAAGCCTCTCAGCTGGTCAGGCCCAGAAGCCTGGGAAAGGACCCTTTACGACCAGGCTGCAAACATGTGGCATTTAAGTAAAAGACTGTTGTAACGGGATTTTAAAAGTGTCAGAGCTCCCGGGCACCTGGGTGGCTCAGAGGTTGAGCATCTGCTTTTGGCTCAGATTGTGATCCCAGGGTCCTGGAATCGAGTCCCGCATTGGCCTCCCCACAGGAAGCCTGCTTCTCCCTCTGCCTGTGTCTCTGCCTCTCTGTCTCTCATGAGTAAATAAAAATTTTTTAAAAAGTGTCAAAAGCTCTCTTATTCACATCATGTACACATTATTTCCATCCCAATCTTTAGCGTTCTTTTAACTGCTTCCCATGGCTCAGGGAGGAGGGTGGTTTAGTCAGCAACGGTCAGTTAACCCTTTTCACTAGTAGATGTCTTGGTTAGGGATATTTGGTTGTAAAGAACAGAAATTTTCTCAAACTGATTCAAGTAGCCAAAAAGGACAGAGGGAGTCATGGTGTGGAAAGACCTGACTGAACCCATGGGTAGAGACGGGCAGGGAACTGTAATCTGTAAATACTCTGATGGGTTTGGGTATAGACAAGAATTACTCTTCATGGTTACTGAGAAAACCAAGTGAACTCGTACATATATAGCGCTTGGAATAGTGTCAGGCACGCGGTTAAGTGCTCAAGTTGTGATCACTACACTCCAGGATTGAACATTTAGTGCCAGTCCCATTTGTCTACACCCAGTTCCTATTAAGCCCACTTCCTAACTGCCAGACACTTCACAAACGTGACACTGCAAGCCCCACAATTCTTTGAGGTAGGTGCAGGAAGCGAGAGTTCAGAGAGGGTCAGAAAATGGATCCAGAGGGATCCCTGGGTGGCGCAGCGGTTTGGCGCCTGCCTTTGGCCCAGGGCGCGATCCTGGAGACCCGGGATCGAATCCCACGTCGGGCTCCCGGTGCATGGAGCCTGCTTCTCCCTCTGCCTGTGTCTCTGCCTCTCTCTCTCTCTGTGTGTGACTATCATAAATAAATAAATTAAAAAAAAAAAAAAGAAAATGGATCCAGACACATAGCCAGTTCGTGGAAGAGACAGGCTCAGAACCCAGGGCCTCCAACCACAAAAACCGTGTGCTCAACAGCTACTATCCTGAAACAAAATAATTACGAGAGGCAGTGGGCCTTGGAAACAGACTGTGGCAAACAGTGTTTTGGAATTATGTGTTTCCAGAAAGGCCTAACTGGGTTCTATAAGCTCACTCTGTTAGGTAACCTAACTATTAAGTGAAAAACGACCGTACTTAGTTTTTTGGTTTCTAGGAAGAGGCAGGAATCAATTGCTTCAAAGCACAAAAGCACAGGACCCTCCTCCCAGGCTTTTTCCCAAAGTCAAGTTGGTGTGCATCCAGACCTCATCCCCCAAGAGAGAAGATCCAATGGGGTTTTTATCACCATCCAATATTAAACCCAATATGAAAGTTCCTATAAAGCCATACAAAGGCTATTTATTGGCTCTTCACTCACCTGGCCTTTGCAGTATTGCCTTTGGGTCAAGACACCCAATGCTCAAGGCATGAGTCATAGTAACTTTCTGCGGAAAGAAACCTCAAAGCTTCAGGCCATCGATTAGGACGATTAGGACGCTTGCCGACTTCCACTCCCAGGAGCCCTCTCCGCATCTCCCCACTTAGCAGCACTCAGTTCCCGCTTTAGAGAATTACCCCTTTCTTAATGCAACCTGGCCCCAATGTGGGCACATGACTCAAGACAACACTCAAGACAGTCGCACCCTGCAATCTGAATCTTGAGAAAGACTTCTGCCCTTTTGAATTCCCAAAAGTTCCCCTAGATTCATTTTCTGCCTAAGTGAGTCAAAATTGGTTCTGTTTCCAACGGCCTACATGAAAAGAGCTTCTTGGCTCAGCCAGTGGCTGTGGGCATGGTTGGTACTTCCTTGGTTGGAAAAAGTCCTACTGAGCAAAGATTTACATGTGTGGTATTATGTCTTGGACAAGAGAATTAAAGACGGCGTGAGGAAAAACACTGGGCCAGTGGGGAACCCAGAGCGCCAAGGCAATGCTAGGTTTGGATGAGGAAGTCCCTATTTGTCTCTGTTCAAGCAGCAATGGGAGCAACAGGAGGGCTGGCCCTGGCCACGCTCCCTTTTGCCAGTTGCTACACTGGGCACCACTGTACTTGTTGCTTTCCTTCCAGGCCAATAACCACACTCACGCACTTGCTGACATTTTATTTTCGGAAAGGCATCATTCATTCCAGTTTGTCACACAGATTACATGATCAAAGGGTTGAAAAAAATGTTAATCTTGAAATGCTGCCCTCATCTGCGGAAGTCAAGCTCTGCCGTTAAATGAAGATTGTAAGAATACACGTGTCCTTAAGTCTACTGGATCTTGAGAATCACTCAGCAACACCCACAAGACAAAGGCAAAACTCTGCCCTCCTGAAAAGGTGTGTCACTTTTTAGGAAACCGGGAGAGCTTTCAAATGCCTTGACATTTGTGATAGGCCGGATGTCGGCAGGTAAAACACACCCCTGTTGCTGTTCATGAGGACATGTGGAGGTGCCAAATTGCAACCCCAGAGGCTCCTCCCTCTGTGTTCACACAGTATACGTACATATATGAGGAGACTGGCTACCAGGATTATTTAAAATAAGCACACTTAATCCTGCAAGTCATTTTTAACAAAGAACGTCCCAATGTTCAGTCTTTAACTGTGTGACAAAGCCAAAATATCCCGCCAATCTAATGACAAAGTTGGGGGGACAGTTTAAACACATCATTAACATATGCCATTAAGTTTTTCTAGTGAAGACAGCAAGGCCCATTCACAATTGAGGGACAGAGGAGAACTCCGATTTTAGCCACTGCTACCCCTCGGAAGACAGACCTGGCTGGGGTTTCCACACTCCTCTCCTTCCCTGCCAGACCCTGCTAGTTGAGAATACAAAGATCATTCCGATCGCTTTGCATGGAGAATCTCACTGCCCCTGACTGACGGCCCCTATGTGGAGAGATTGTTGTGCCTGCTGGGCAGCCACAAAGGGAGAGGATGAAAGCATTCCTTGTGAGAGGCTGTTGAAAAGAATCCCCTGCCTCAGGGCCGCGCAAACGCACTGATCATAGTCTAAGGAATCGGAAGGGAAGTAACAAGTAACTGGGGCATGCAGAGAATCTAATGTACTCGAGCTGTCACTGCAAAGCTGGTCTTGCAAAAAGCAGAGGGAGGAGCATGTAACCTAGCTCAAATCACACATGCTACACTCTTAAATTTTTTTTTTTCCTTCCGTGGGTCTTTGCTGCAGACAGGATTGGTCTTCAAAATCTCTCAGTCTCTCTCTTAATCAAGTTGCTCAAGCTAGTCTGTCTTTCCCAACAGGATCCAGGTGAAAAATAGCCTTTAGAATGCAGCAGCAAAGGAAATAAGGAATATACAGAAACGGAAAGTTTAGGAGAAGGCCTCTTGGTGTTGATTTAGAGATACAGGGTCCAGGCTACCGCCAGCAATGGGGTCACCAGCAGAGCCATCTTCCTGGAGGCACTCGTGCCTGCACTTCCATTACAAAGGTCCTTCTGGCAGCAATAGTACTCTAGCTTCTTAATTTGGAAAGAGTTTGAAATGTACTGGTAATTGCAATCTTCCTTCCTCCAACACTGGTAGTAATATCTTAGGGGATCTGTGAACAGAAACACACAGAAAGGTAAGTTAGCAAGTGCGGAATGACCTGTCCCAGCCTGTGAGCTCTCAATTCTACTTCTTAGAACTCAGCTACTTATGGAAGTAGAGACACCTGGGCAAGAACATGTATCCTGGTTGGGCTGTAAAAGGGAACGATTAAGCAAATGATGATGATACAACTAGAGAGAGAACTTTTCCATAAAACCAAAGTGTCAGCGCAGAGAGTGGTGCGTGGTGCAATAGCCAATCCTCCTGATGTTTTAGAGGTTTGCTGATATTTTTAACAATCCAACAATCCTACTTCTAGAATTTACTCTATGAAGTTACTTGTGGAAAAGGTTAAGATAGATGCTCAAGAATGGTCACTGTATCACCATCTGTAATAGCAAGAAAACTAAAAGACAAAAATCAGTCCATTACTAAAAAAAATGTGAAGAAATTAGGGTAGAGTTCCATACAACAGAATTCCAGGTAGATAAGGACGGGCCCAGGCCTGCATGTGTTGAACTGGAGTCTGAGTTTTAAAAAAATGTAGAAGAATGGATAAATTGGACTCCAACAAAATTAAAGACTTTGCGCATCAACGGGCACTACAGAATATAAAAAGACAACCCACAAAAAGGGAGAAAATGTTATCTGATGAGTCTAGTGTCCAGAATATATAAAACATCCTTACAACACAATAAATATACACACAACTCAAAACACGTGCAAAGGATGCGTGTATTTCCTCAAAAAAAAAAAAAAAGATTCACGAAGGGCCAATCAGCACATAAAAAGAGGTTCAATATCATTAGTCATTAGGAAAATACAAATCAAAACCACACTGAGCTTCCGTCACACCCAGTAGGATGGCTATAACCAAGAAACTGGAAAGAACAAGTGATAACAAGGATGTGGAGAACTGGAAGCCTCATACACCATCGGTGGGAAGGTAAAATAGTGCTGATGCTCTGGAAAAGCCTGGCAATTACTCAAAAAGTTAAAATCTGTAAAAGATTTACAAATACCATATGAGCCAGTAATTCCACTGCTGGATATTTACCCAAAGAAAATGAAAACACTTATTCGACAAGATATATATGCACCCTATTCATAGCAGCATTATTAATAATAACCAAGATATGGAAGCAGCCCGAGTGTCCATTGATAGAAGAATGAACAAAGAAGATGTGGTGTGTTTACACACACACACATACACACAAACACACATGCAGTAGAATGTTACATGGATGGACCTAGAGGGTACTATGCTTAGTGAAATAAGGCTGAGAAAGGCAAATACTGTATGATTCCACTCATGAGTGGGATCTAGAAAAGAAACAAATGAATAAGCAAATAAAGAGCAGAATCAGACCTATAAGTACAGAGGATAAACCGATGGTTGCCAGAAGGGGTGAAGGGGAGAGGGAGATGCAGGCCGCCAGTTATGAAATGAGTAAGTCACAGGAATAAAAGGCATAGTATAGGGAATGCAGTCAACGCTACTAACAGCAGTATGGTGGGAACATGTGTGAACACAATACCATGTACACACCTGCCAAATCACTAAGTTATACACCTGAAACTACTGTAATATTGTCTGTCAACTACACTAAAAAAAAAAGTGACCTAGCAATTCCACTTCTAGATATATTTCTTCCTCTTATTTCTAGCTCTATCTCTAAACCCAGAAGAATTGAGAACTACATCCACACAAAAGCTTGTACATGAATGTTCACAGCAGCAGCATCCAAAACAGCCACAAAGTGGAAACCCAGATGTCCCTTAACTGGTGAATGGAGGGGCAGCCTGGGTGGCTCAGTGGTTTAGCACCACTTTTGGCCCAGGGTGAGATCCTGGAGACCTGGGATCGAGCCCCACATCGGGCTCCCTGCATGGAGCCTGCTTCTCCCCCTGCCTGTGTCTCTGTGTCTCTACCTCTCTCTCTCTCTCTGTGTCTCTCATGAATAAATAAATAAAATCTTAAACAAAAAAAAAAAAAAAACAACTGGTGAATGGATAAACAGAATGTGGTCTCTCCATACAATGGAGTGTTATTCAACCACAAAAAGGAATGGAAGTACTCAGATATGCCAGGACATGGGTCAGCCTTAAAAGTCATTCTGCTCGGTGGAAGAAGCCAGTCACAGAGGCCACGCACGCTGTATGATTCAGTTCATAGTCAATATCCAGAAGAGGCGAATCCATGGAGGCTGCAAGTAGATTAGTCACTGCCCGGGTATGTGGGAGGGAGGAGTGAGGAGTGACTACTGATGGCTATGGGGTCTCTTACGAGGATAAAAATACTCCAGAGTTATGATAGTGGCACAGCCTTGTGCATATACTAAAAGCCACTATATTGTACATTTTAAAGTGTAAATTTTCTGGTATGTGAATTTTATCTCAATAGAATAGAGGCAGAACAGTATGCAGAATGGGAGCGTGTGTGTAAAGAAGTGTATGTACAGGGGATAAATGCATTGATTTTCTCTGGAAAAATTCCCAAAGGCATTTAACCGTGTTACCTTCACAGAAGACTCCTTCATTTATACATTTCTGTATGGATTGAGATTTTTTTTTTAAGTCATTGGATGGATTTTTTATTTTATTTTATTTTTTGATCTACTTTAAAAATATTTTAAACTTCATTTAAAAGTCATTTGACTACTCAGGAATACAGGAAGTTTCCAAAACAACATGCTATTACGGTCCCAATTTTGCACACAAAGAGAAAAATCAAGGCCCCAAATACCTACGACAAGTATCTTATTATGGTTTTTTAATATTTCAGGAAAATTATGTTAAGGGAAAAGCAATGTGCTGATTGAGAGGAATTATGATGGATTTTCCTCTCCAAAAATAACTGTGTGCCAAGACTGTGTGCTAGCTGCTGGAGACATATCGACAGAAAAGGTAGGGTCCTGGCCCTGGCATCACTTCCTTATCTTCTCTGCTGGAAGGAAAAGAAAAAAAGACCCAACAACCAACCAACCATACCGATGCCCATTTCCTTATTAGAGGGCTTGTTGTAACTAACTTATCTTCATTTACAGCTGGGAACAAAGCTACATTTATAACTGCAGATATAACCATCTCATCCTCCCCCTTGAGGGGATGAAGTGTTGGGGATGCACTTTAATGAAGTTTGGTCAAGTGGCAGAGGCCACACAGTGTTCCTAGTGGGTCTACTTTCTTGGATCATAGGTATTCAAATGGATGTTTCTAATACTGAACTAGAGGAGGCTGTTGAATAGGACAAGTTACTGCAGCAATCCTAATCAGGAACTGGAACTGGAAAAACACTAAAGTTACTGGAATTTTAACCAGGGGAGCCTCACAGCCTGGGGAAAGCAGATAGTAATTTATTAATAATTGCTACCAATTAATCATTTACTCTGTGTCCTGCAGGGAGTCAAGCACTCTCCTTCAATTATCCTATTTGCATAACAATCTATGATGGTGAGCTTCTCACCAAGCCACTAACAGAATCACCCAAATAAAGTGGATTATCAGAGTCACTGGAATGTTAGCGTTTCTCTCTCTGCTTGGCGCATCATCCCTGATCTCTTTGAAGGTTTACTTTGAGTCTAACTTCACGAAGCACCAGCCCCTGATTGTCCTCGGCATTGCTAAGTGTGCCCCTTATTCAGAAGGTCATTATGGCAATGATCGCATGGTACTGCCACCAGAGGCTTACGCCAGGGTCTGAGTACATGGCTTCTAGTTCTGGGACTGGCCAGGACGCCAATAAATAGTGTCTGAATTAACACCCAACACCTGCCTCTCTTCTAGACTCCATCTGTACAGCACCCACATACCCATTTTCTCCTCTACCTGTCCCACAGACCCTAGGAGATAAATATTCCTATTTTACAGCTGCTGGCGGTGGGGGGAATGTGGCTAGAAGAGTTGAATGATTTTTCCAATGGATTACTTGACCTTTGACTCCCGTTTATGACCGTGTGCCTTGCCTCTCCCAGGAGATGACGATCTGAGCTGGAGGGGGATTTAGGTGCTCTGGTAGTGTCTGTCCTGCTGTAAGGTCAGAATTTCTCTATTTCAAGAACAGCTGTAATCACATGTCAAGCTGGAGTTGTGGGACTTAAGTTCATAAGAAAAATATTTAGGATTCAAATGATCCTTTAAAAAAATATATTTTATTCTTTAGAGGAGTTTGAGATTCACAGCGAAATTGAGCAGAAAGTTGAGAGTCCTCATTTGGACCTGGCCCCCCAATCCCTACCCTGAGGAATCTGTTATTAGCCTCTCCTCCCCCACCAGAGTGGTACATTCATTACAATTGCTGAACCGACATGGATTCACCATCACCATCAAAGACTATGATTTACATTGGGTTTGCTCTGGGTGTAATATGGGGTTTGACAAATGCAGGACATATACCCACCAATATTGTACCACATAGTTTTATTGCTCTAAAACCCTGTGCTCCACCTTTTTATCCCTCCCTCCCTCCTGCTAACCCCCTGCCAACCACTGACCTCTTTAATGGTCTCCTTAGTGTTGCCTTTTCCAAAATGTTCTATGATTGGAATGACACATTATGTAGCCTTTTCAGGTTGGCTTGTTTCACTTAGTAATATGTGTTTAAATTTCCTTCATGTCTTTTCATGGCTTGAGAGTTCATTTCTTTTTAGTCCCTTGTCTGGATACACTGCAATGTACAGTTTATTCATCCACTTACTGACAGACATCTTGGTTGCTTCCAAATTTTGGCAACTATGAATAAGGCTGGCACAAACATCTGTGTGCAGGTTTTTGTGTGGACATATGTTTTCAATCCCTTTGGGTAACTATTCAGTGACTGATGAATCATATGGTGGGAGTATTTTTAGCTCATTAAGAAATGGCCAAGGGGCAGCCCAGGTGTTTCAGCGGTTTAGCACCACCTTCAGCCCAGGTTGTGATCCTGGGGTCCTGGGATCAAGTCCCATGTCGGGCTCCCTGCATGGAGCCTGCTTCTCCCTCTGCCTGTGTCTCTGCCTCTCTCTCTTTCTCTCTGTGCCTCTCATGAATAAATAAAATCTTAAAAAAAAAAAAAAAAAGGAAAAAGAAAAGAAACAGCCAAGCCATACCATTTTGCATTTCCATGAGCAATGAATAAGACCTTGCATTGGTCCACATTCTTGTCAGCATTTGGTGTTGCCAGCATTTTGGATTTTGGCCACTCTTTAAAGGTGTGTCTTGTTATTTACATGAACTACTTTTAAAAGCTGAACAATTCATTTTAGGATGAGTAAGTTTTGGGTATCTAATCTATAGCGTGGGGAGTATAGTTACTAATACTGTGTATGATATACTTGAAATTTGTTAAGGAAATAGATCTTAGTGATCTCATCACACACAAAAAGGGCAACTTCGTGATGGGTTGTATGTCTTAATTAGGCCACTGTGGCAATCATTTTCCAATGTATTAAGTATCAAATCACACCATACATCTCAAGTATACCCAATTTTTATCTGTCAATTATACTTCAATAAAGTTGGAACATTTTTGTAATACAAGTTTAACAATCAGATAAGAAACAATGGGATTTGAGAGCTGGAAGAAAGATTTTGGCTTTACTCTACTCCCCTTTCTTCTTCACCTTTACCGTCTAACACACACATTTCATAAATTAAAAACAAAAACACAGGCAGAAAGAACTTACTGAAGGCAGAAAAGAGATTGGAGTTCAGAGCTCCTAACTGCTAATCTAATTCTTACTCTACACAGAATATTGCCTTTATCCTCTCATTTGCAAATTATACTTTTTGTAGTGGGGGGGGGGTGTCCCTGAGACACAGATGATCAAGGTTAACTTGATGTATGTGCTCACACGTAACTAGTCTTCAGATATTTGTAGAATGAATGTCTATGTTCTCTGCAGGGCCTTATTGTGCTTTCTACATCAACAAAGAATGCCTGTGGTCCTCGGCATGCAGGCAGAGGATCTATCCCCTCTACAGTCAGTCAAAGACCTCGCACGTAGGGCTTGTAATTTTATCCACATTCCAGGAATTTACATCAAAATTATCAGATAGTCCAGCCTGACAGGATAATTCTGATGTGTCCCTACTTATTGAGGGATTTCTCCTTTCTTGGGGAGATTAATCTTCTCTTCTTTTCTATCAGGTTTTCCTGAACCTGTGGGTCTCCTGCGTCTTTTAGAATTTTACCTGACATGTTCAGCATTTCTTGATGATGCCACTGGAAAGACTTTGTGATAGAAGGTAGAAGAATAAAAATAACCTTGAAAGGTGTTTTTATTTTTATTTCTTAGATGGTAGCTATTACTTGTTGAATATATGTCTAATGAGAATGAGCATAGCACACATTTTTTTCTCAGGCCCTCATTGTCCCATTACATGGAGCAGACAGGGAAGGGGCAGGCTCTTACCGGCTTTGATGAAAAGACACGCATCAAGATTAATCCCACAACTGATGGTATGATTGCAGGTATACTCTGATTCAGGACAGCTGTAGCATGTCAGGCTGTGACCTAGAATCAGGAAGAAAGCCTGTCAGTACTTGTAAGACCACCATTGACTTGCCCTCCTGGTGGCAGAAGGGAGCCCAACTATCTCCACTGGTATGGGGCAGAGGTCGGCAGTGGACCTGTAGCAGACACATTTTTCCAACCTCAAACTACAGTTCCAGCAGCATATTTTGGACCCTGATACAAGTGCAAAAGAATTTCCATATTTCAAAATCCATGTAATCATAAAATTGAGAAGTTTCCTCTTACCTTCAACTAGAAATGATTAAAAAAGAAGTGATTAATCTGCAATGTAATGACATATTAAAAGGAAACTATCAAAAAATTAAAAAAAATTTTTAAAAAGGAAACTATCAAGAGAAAAAACTACCAGAATTCTGGAAATGCCTTCCAGATCACAAATATGCTGTTTGATCACATGTTCGTAGATTGATAATCGGCTATTTGGCAGTACCTATCTGTGTGAAAAGACATTTCCAGAGATGAAATATGTAAAATCTCATAGAAGACTGTCATGGTTAAACCCAGACCAAGTTTTAGAACCCAAGAGCTGACTTGTAGTTCTAAGACCAATGCCTACATTCATCACTCAGTGATCAGTCCACCTAGCTGAGGACTCTAGGAGGAGGAAATCCTCCACCTAGCTGAGGACTGTTCTGATTTGTGAAGATTTTCAGATTAACCTTCAAAATGCCAGTCCAAAAAACACTCTCCCACCCATTTTGTTTGCAGATGACACAGACAGACATCTGGAGTGAAGTGACTCACCAAGGACACCCCAAGCAGAGCTGGAGTCAGCCCCCATACCCGAGGGTTCCCTAAGCCCACTCTCCTCCTCCCTCCCAATGTTATTGATGGTCATGCTTATATGAGAGGGGAGTCACAATGAGAAGGGACAAAGATGTGATTTTTCTGCAGTCCCCTTCCTGTTCCTGATGTGTTCACATACCTCAGAAGGGAGAACCTAAGAGTTGAAAGAGTGTTCTAGCCTGAATACTTGTGAGGGCCATCTGAAAGGTTGTTCATGGGACTGAATCTTCTCCTGGCTACAACCAGAGCTCATCTGGCTTTTTTTTTTAATATTTTATTTATTTATTCATGAGAGAGACAGAGAGAGAGAGAGAGAGGCAGAGACACTGGCAGAGGGAGAAGCAGGCTCCGTGCAGGGAGCCCGATGTGAGACTCGATCCTGCGACTCCAGGACCATGCCCTGAGTGTGAAGGCACGTGCTCAACCGCTGAGCCACCTGGGCTTCCCTCATCTGGCTTCTTGACACAACGTTTAAATGAAGGAACCAAAGCTCACACTTGGAACATCTGTGGGGCAGAAATACTGATAGCTAACAGGTTCATTCACCATGCAGATATCCTGTGCACCTACATGCTAAGCTCTTGATCTTTGCAGAAGTGCCACGAGAGGTAGGCTCAGAGATCTCCAGCTCCATTTTTGAAGAGAAAACTAGGACTAAAATGTTAACCAACTTGCCTAAAGTCACACTGCAGAGTGAGAACTGGGACTCAGGCCCAGACCATCAGTTCTGAAACCTGAGCCTGGTTTAACCATGATGTTCTTCTAACTGTCCAGAGCATGAAAGAGAAGGAAAGAACACAGACTGGGAGGATTCGACTCTGGGCTAATGAAGGTGCGAGTGTGGGGCAGAGGAAGGCTCCCTGCATGTTCCTCAGGGCCTAGGCAGCAGCCAAGGAAGCCTCTCCCGTGTGTGCGTGGCTCCCGTGTGTGCGCGGGACCCTGTGTCTCTGTGGAAGGGCCTGAGAGCTGCGGGACCTGTCACAGAACAGCTGACGGCCCGAAGCCCAAGTTTGCTCCAGAAATAGCTGTGGCATATCTGGGCTATTCTGATCACAGGAAATACACCGGACACAAGGACAGAGATGATCCCACAGTGTTGTCACAGGGGGGAGCCACATCACCACCAACCCCTGGCTGGAATTAACAGAGGCGGGAGGGAGGGTCATGACCACTCTTTTTTCTCAGATAGGGAGAATGTATCCAAACGTGTCCTTGAGCTAGTTCCTTCTCTGCTTTGGTTCCCTCAACTGTAAAGTGGGAATAACAACAATGATCCCTCGTGGGGTGGCTGGAAGGGTTAAGGGAGACACAGGGCTTGCCACGGTCTCTAGGACACAGAACGAATTCAATATATGGGAGCTGATAAAGCTAATAATATATATGAGACATGCTCTGACACGGAAGGAATCTCTTCACTGTTCTTTGCATTGCTGCTTCCCTTTTTGCCTTTTCCCCACTTAAAAAAAATCCTGAAAAGCTGGCAGTACTAACAGGACACAGGCAGAAAATAACATTTGATCCTTATCATGAACCAAAGCAAGTAACACAGGTGGGTTTTTTTTGTTTTTGTTTTTGTTTTTATTTGAGAGAGAGAAAGTGAGAGAGAGCAAGTGGGGCAAGGGGAGAGGAGAGACAGAGGGAGAGGGAAAAGCAGACACCCTGCTGTGTGTGGAGCCCGATGCAGGGCTTGATCCCGTGACCCTGAGATCGTGGTCTGAGATCATGACCTGAGCCGAAATCGAGTTGAATGTCTAACCGACTGAGCCACTGAGGCGCCCCAGGAACAGAGGTGTTTTTGTGGTTAAAGAATTAAGACTCAGGAACACACAAAGACTTCCAGGAGCTGCGGAAGGGTGGCTGGGGAGGAAGTTAAGAGCAGACACTCTGGTGCCAGTCCACGTGGGCTCAAATTCTGTATGATATTTTACAAATTATTTCCTCTTTGGATCTTAGTCTAGTCATTTATAAAATGATGGCAAAAACAGCCCCTACTCCATAGGGTTGACGTGAGGATTCAGGAAGCAATGCGGATAAAATGCTAAGAATAGCAGTTGGTGTGTGAATGCCGTGAGCCAGCCGCTGCTGCTCCTTCTATAATCTTCACCATCATCACTGTCACACAGATGCCCCCTGTGTCACAGCACTCTAAAGATGGTCCCCACTAGGGTCCCCAACAGCTTGTGAGAGAGGGGAAACTCCAGCTGCTACGTGGACCTCCTGCCCTGCTCCCCACAAACAGCTGCTCTGTCGCCCAGGATGGGCTGTAACTCAGGAAGGTGCTCCAAGGAGAGCAAGGCTGTAACGTAGAAGGAGCGGTCACACGGCCCAGGACCCCTAACACTGGAAGGCAGAAGAAGCAAAGCCAGGCCCCAGGCCAGTGGCATCAGCTCACTCCCCTGAGGCCTAAGAAAAAAGGAAGCTTACGATGGAAGTGACCGAGATGGTCCGGATCCATGTCCCCTCGGGCCACTCACCTGAATGGCAGAGGGCAGCCAGGATGAGCAGAAGCACCGGCAGGATGAATCCTCCTTTGTTTCCCATTGTGATTGTCCACAGAATCTGGAAGGAAGGGACACAGAGGGTTGTCATGCACCAAGCAAAGGACAGGTTATGTCAGAAGCCAACAGCTGGAAGGCCTGAAACCTTCAGGTAACATGGGGAAGGAGTCAGCAGACCAAGAAAAAAATCAAGGTGCTCTCCTGGCCCCCACACCTCAGGTTACTGAAGAAATGCTCCCCGTCCTATTGAGAGAGGCAGCTACAGGGAGTCAACACACACCACACCGGGCTGGGGGTCAGCAGTACCTGCGCTCCGCCCCAGCTCTCACCTGGCCACAGTGGTTGGCTCTGAATAAGCCTCAGTCCCTCTAAGCCGCGGTGGTGGCACTACCTTCCCTATAAGGGGAGTTCCCTGCCCCAAGCTGCTGGCTGAGCAGGGGCATGTGGGGGGGGGGGCAGCAGGGGCCACCTCTCCAGGCCATGCCACTAAGTGTGTCAGACCAAAGGGGTGACCCTGGAAGGCACCAGCATCCTTTCTGCAGCAGAGCAGGAGGCAAGGGTTTAGTGTACACAGAAGCTCTGGCTCCCCACCTGTGCAATGGAGCCACCACCTTGTCCACCTCTTCCCCTCAGGGGAAGTAGAGAGGGTGCGTACCAAGGTAGCTTTGATGACTAGTCCCGTCACATTAATGCCCACTTGTGTGACGGGGAGCCTCAGGGGAGGAAAGGGGAGGGCTGAAATGCCTCAGATCCTCCTCTCACCTGATAAGGAAGCCACAACACAGAGGAGTTTCTGGCTGTCTATGTCTGAACCATGAGTTGCAGACCTAAGAAGTCTCCCAATCCCGCCCCTACTTCCCTGGCCCCATCCTGAAACAGGAGATGGAGCACCTCTAAACCATGGTGCTCCATGCTCTCCTCTTCTCAGCCCCACAGGCCAGGACTTCCGCCTGGCAGACAGACGGGGCTCTGGGTGGGTGAGCCCCACCGTCCTCTAAGTTAGGAATGTCATTCCTACACCTCTGGAGGTCATCTGCTGCTCAGAAATTGGCTGAAAAAGGTCAGGGAGGAGTTGAGAAGCAGAAAGAATAGGCTCTGGCACCGAGTAAGTCATGCCCAAGTGAAAGAGACAGGTTGCTTTCTGATGTGTGGAGAGCCAGGAAGAAAAACAAGGCCTGGCCTTATTTTTTTTTAATATATATTTGTTTATTTATGAGAGACCCAGAGGGAGACAGAGACACAGGCAGAGGGAGAAGCAGGCTCCCCACGGGAAACCTGGTGCGGGACTCGATCCCAGGACCCCAGGATCATGACCTGAGCCAGAGGCAGACTCTCAACCACTGAGGCTCAACCACCCAGGCGCCCCAGGCCTGGCCTTTCTTTATGAGTAACTTTCACTTCCCTCTGGGGTCACCCTGGCCATGCTGACCCTCCAGGGGGTCGCTGGCCACAGTGAGGAAGTGAGATGTGTGCCCAAGGGCAGTGGTTAAGAGGTCAGACGCCGGAGTGGCAGAGGCCTGGACATAAGGGCTGGCCCTGTCACTGCCACCAAGGCTCCATTACACCTCATCTGTAGGGGCAGGTGTATGGCGCTTCCCAACACTGTAAGGATTCAGCGAGATAAAACAAGTTGAACAAATACGTGCTTATGACACAGCCAAGCACAGTAAGTGGAGGATGTTACCAAACCCGACCACACACAGAGCTCTTGTCCTAACTCAGACAGGCATGTCTACTACACTTCTGTTCCGAGTTATCTGAGGATCCGTGGATCTTCCTTTCTGGCCCCTGACTCTGAGAGGTAGAGGGCCCTGAGGTCTCTGTACCCTGATCCTTGAGGAAGAGGCCTCAGCCCCTCCTGCTGGCACCCAGACTGCCCTGAAATGCCCTCTGCCTGGAGCCAGATGAGTGACAAGAAAGAGCCCCCACCTACTCTCCCCTTGGGGTGAGCAACCCAGGCCTCAGCACCCTGCCAGTTTTCCTCCTGGCTTCTCCAGCTGTGTAGTTTCCAAGTAGACAAAATGGGCTCAAGTCAGACAGGGCTCAGGTCTGTAAAGAACAGCTGCCTGCGAGTAGACAGGGAGAGGAAGGTTTTAATCTGAGGTCCCCCACAGGGGACAGGAGCTCTGAGATAAGACTGGCTGGGACATCAAGAGTCCCCAATGGATGGGGCAGGAGGGAGCGTCTGAACAGTCCTTCACATAAATGACAGCACCATGACAAACAGGGTGCCACACACAGAAGGGTTCTAGGGGTTCCGGGACGAAGTGCCTTAGAAAGTATCTGCCCACCAAGAAAGGCTCATGTCTTAACAAAAGCAGAGAAGCAGCAATGACCCGGGGAAGGGACAGGCTCTCTGGTCTGGTCTAGGGCACTCCAACAGGCCATGGACACTTCTGGCTCTGCCCCTTCCGTGCTGGTGAGTTAACTCAGTCTTGGGCTTCGTTCTTCATTCGGCCAATTATGGGGATAATTACACATACGCGTGGTGCAATGCCTGGCGCTCAGGAAGGCACCCCAAAAGCCATAGCCACTATAGTACAACTGACATCACAAGGTGATCGGAAGGAAGAAACTGGGTAGGGAGGTGGTTTGGGGGGTTGGGGGGCAGGGGTCGGGAGGGTGGACAGAAGGGAGCTTTAGGTGAGGAAGTCAGACAAACACCCTGGAATGGATGAGCCAGGGACATCTCGGGCCCCAAACATAAAGCAGCCCCCAGCTTTTTGGGCTGGAGGGGGAGTGTGGGGTCGGTTCCAACACCCCACATGGCTGGCTGGTGGTTACGGCAGGTGCTTCCATGCCATGGCTGCAGGAGGGCAAAGATCACAGGGAGGAAGTGGCCAGTGTGCGGATGACAAGGTTGAGTGGTTCAAATTGAAATAAGACTAGGGGGCAGCCCCAGTGGCTCAGCGGTTTAGCGCTGCCTTCAGCCCAGGGGTGATCCTGGAGACCCCAGATCGAGTCCCACGACGGGCTCCTTGCATGGGGCCTGCTTCTCCCTCTGCCTGTGTCTCTGCCTCTCTCCGTGTCTCTCATAAATAAATAAACAAAATCTTTAAAAAAAAAAAAAGAAAGAAAGAAAGAAGACTAGGTCTTCACAAACCACTACTAAGAATATAAATTTCCAAGGGCAAAATGTTGTTACGGAGTGGGGGGCAAGGGAGGATAGAAGACACCTCATGTTCCAAAGCTATTTTATCAATGCCCCCCCAAATGCTGACAGTAGCTAATGCTAAGCAGGATTATTTATGATTTCTTACTTCTCTTCCTGACTCTTTACTTTTTTACCATACTTTCTTCAACTATTCTATAATGGACCAGGTTTTACTTTCATAATTAGAAATACTGGGAAAATCTACACGTAACAAATGTTTCCCTTTTGGTAGGCATATGTCACCTATCTTTTGGCAAATTTTTCTATGAAAACACAAACAAATTGAACCTCATGATTTCAAACTCTTCCGTCTAAAACATCCTCCAGTTTAGACTTCAGAATGATGCCCCTAATCAAGCATACATTGGATAGGACATGAAGCAGAAATGCTGCCATGACTTTTCCAGTCCACCCAAACCAAACGTTTCCATGCAAGCTGCACCCAGAGGGCCTCAACACTCTCTTTTCTAAATACGCTAACTCATTTAAACAGTAAACAGTGAATTTAATTATTGGAAACAGACCAAAGTCCTGCTGAATGAGGTCCACAGAAGAAAGACAGGTGAGCCTACTGGAAAATACCATTTTGGAGTTGCAAAACACACTTGAAGCCAGCCTTAGGAAGTTCAGATGGGTATTCCTGGGAGGTTCTGACCTTGACTCTGAAGTGGATTCCCTCCAGAGGGGTGCTCCAAAGATGCTTTTCATTGCAGCATGAAGTAAACACTCAAGGACACAGAAGCATTGTTTAAAACAGTAAAAATCTGGCAACATAGGTGGCTAGACGTAAATTAGCATATAATTCCATGATGCAGAAGTGTACCTCATGAGGTGTGCTAGATAGGAAAGGCTGGTCACAATGTTTTAAGGAAAAAGCCAGTCTAAAAATAGCTAAAAATCTCATAACTTTTTCCTAAAAGTACAATGCTTGGAATACCATATTAACTTTTTTGAACATTTCTGGAACTCATGGCAAACAGGATCGTAGAATTATGGTAGCTTATTCATGCTTAAATATATCCTCTTAACAATAAACATTTTTATAGAAAGAGCTCTCAACATGAGAGCAGGATATGTTAATGTACTTACGAATCATTTCACTTGTAGCTTCTTTTTCTTTCTTTTAAAGATTTTTTTATTCATGAGAGACACAGGCAGAAGGAGAAGTAGGCTCCCCCACAGGGAGCCTGACGCAGGACTCGATCCCAGGACCCCGGGGATCACAACCTGAGCCAAAGGCAGACATTCAACCACCGAGCCACCCAGGCGTCCCTTTTTATTTTTCTATTACCAAACCTGATTAGGTAATAAAACATAAAGGTGGTATAAACCACCTTTCAAAATCGGCTTCTTTGAGGTAAAAAAAAGTGTTTCGTGTACATACACCCTCCTATGTCTGTCTGATAGCAATGATTTTAGTTATACTCTGTTTTTGTAAGATAGGAGGCTTGGGCAATTTTCTAGCAGTCCTGAGAGATCTAATATACTAATCCCCCGTTGCTGCCAACTTCTACAAATTTAAAACAGTGAATGCCTTTACTTCCATTCCTCTCTTGTGAAGGGGTAATAATGATCTTATACAATGATAAAATATAATAAGACTCAAGGGGTTTATAGCCCCATATGGACGAAAACATAGCAGGTAAAGGAACAACGAAGCAGATAAATGCACAGCAACCTGTGCATTCACCTATTCATTTGCATCCACCCAAGACATATGAGGATGCTAAAACATTGCAAGCCAATTTACAAACACAGGCATTCCCCATCAAGTTCTTTCATGAGAGACAGAGACACAGGCAGAGGGAGAAGCAGGTCCCATGCAGGGAGCCCAGTGTGGGACTCGATCCCAGGTCTCCAGGACCAGGCCCTGGGCCGAAGGCAGGTGCCAAACCGCTGAGCCACCC